GGGACTTATTGGGATGACCTCCCACATGGGTGGGGCCACCCCACGTAAATATCTAGAGATAAGGAGCAAGGAGGCGTAGGATTTGCTAAGGGATGGGAGAGAAATGATTTGAGATGATAAGCATCTAAATAATACATGGGTGGGCCTCATTTATCTCACTGATTGGCTAAATGAGACGAAATGAACTCGTCCCCTCCATCCTCCGCATTTAACTCGACCAAGACACCAAGAGAGGGAGAAAACATCCCTGCAAACACCATTTCTCCATTGTTGAAGGAAGCTCGATAAGCAAGAAGCTCAAGGAAAGGGTTTAAGTTACCGAAAGGGTACAAAGCTTGAGAAAATAAAGGTAATGGCTTCATTAACCTTTTCTTCTCCATTTCTTGAATACCTCATTATATTGAGGATCATAATAGGACCCCTAGGATTGTTCTACATGTTTAGAAATGTAGAATGAGGGGTTGGAAGGTAGTTCTAAATCCAAGAATGGACTTAGAAGCTAAAGTGACCGGTTCGCCGGAAATAACCTTTTAGAGGTTATTCGTATTGATATGGGTTTTATAATGATAAAACCTTGTTAGGAACTCTTCTAAGGTGTTCCTAGAGCTTTCACGGAGTTGAAAGAGTCGTCGGAGTTTTCGTCGGAGTTTGTCCAAGTTCGCTGGAGCTTCGCCGGAGTCCAACCGGGAAGGGTAGAACTTCTGATACGTTCGTAATTTCCATATTTATGTTTATGTTTTTAATTAGTTTTGCTTGACTTTTACTTTTGAAATTACACACTTTTGGTGTAATAGATTAGATTGTTAAATTCTTGTAAATAGGTTAGATTAGATATATTCTGAGCTCAAGCAGGTTTTGGTCACTCGAAGTACAGTTGGTGAACCCAAAAAGTGAAAAGAAGGTGCAAAAGTTCAAAGACAAAAGAAGATCCTGAAATTTGGTCTATACTCGGTCGAGTATTAGCTATACTCGATCGGGTATTAGGTTGGAACTTCAAATCGGATCAGATCCAAAGACAAGGGAACATGCAGGGAAGATTTCGGCCACGATTTTATGTCTATACCCGATCGGGTAGACCGACATACCCGATCGGGTATGCCTTTGAATTTCAAACGAAGATCGGTCGAGTATGGTCCGAATACCATTTTCTAAGCATACTCGACCGGGTATTCATATATACTCGACCGGGTATACTCTTAGAAAATAGCCTGAAACCGGTCGAGTATGCCTCGGATCGAGTGTTACACACGTACTCGATCGGGTACCATGTATATACCCGATCGAGTACCCGAACCCCATCCCAAAAACCTATAAATACACCTCTTTTCCTTCACAAAAAGATATCCAATTCCTTTGTACATCTAAGCTCAGTATAGAATAGCTCTTTCTTTATATTTTTCATCATGTTTAGTCTCCAAATGAGGAGCTAAACTCTTCCATCTTGGTTTTGCTACTTTGAAGCTTAATGAGTTTGTAAGTTGTGAGTTATTTTCTTTAATCTTCTTCCTTGAATATTAATTCTTTCTTTCAAAATACTATCTCTATATCAAAGTTGGGGAGTGTTACTAAGATGACAATTAGTTAACATCTTGACATTGGTTATAGTAATAGCTATTTCTTCCTCTATGATAATATTGGGGAGTGTTACTAAGATGACAATTAGTTAACATCTTGATATTAATCATAGTAGGATTCATATATTTTAATATTCTTCCTTGAGTATTAATTAATTCCTATTCATATTTCATGTTAATATCTTAAACATTACTTAAGTATCAACTAGTATTGTTTCTCATATTAATTATTACTAGAATCAATCGGTTAATACGCTTGTTATTAATCCGGTTCTTTCAACGGTAGTAAACTTGGAATATTAATGCATGCATCTCATGGTTAATATGCCAAGGGGAATTAATTATATTGATTAAACCAATAAACCGCTTGTGTTGAGGTTATCAATCTCAATCGTTTTCATCTTAAGTTTATTGCTACTATCAAGTTAATATACGGCGCTTGTTCTATATTGACTCGATAGTAAGTTTTATTAATGAACGCATCTCGTTATTAATAACTACCCTCGATGAACTGGATATACTCCTCGATTGAGTATTCGAGAGGAAGATAGTTAAAGATATAACCGGGATCGACGAACATTTCATTAAGTGGATAAAAGCAAAACCAAGTCCCCATCTCATTGAATTAAACTCATATAGGTCGTTTATCTTAGTGTTATTAAACCAAACAAGTCTAAACCCCCCTTGTTACTATTTATATAAAAGAAAAGTATTCCTTTCCCTGTGGATACGAACCTTACTACACTATACTACGTATTAGTGTTGTATTGATTAATTATTTTGAGTGCACCTAACGACGAGTGCACGTCAAATTTGGCGCCATTGCCGGGGAAAGGCAATTAATTTTTCTTTTATTTCATATCATGAAAAATCAAAAAAAAAATATACCAAACAAAAATATAAAGAGTGTTTATTTTTCTATTTTCTGAGCTTAGTGGAGTTTATGGTTAAACATCGTTCCATAAACGAAATCACATATCACAAAAACCCAGAAATAGAACAAACTTTCGAGCGGTTGAAAAGTAAATTTTCTAACACCGACTCGGAAGAATCATCTTCCAGAGATTCATACACCGCTAGCTCTAGTTCTAGCGACACCGAAGAGCCAACCACAATGGCTCTTGAAACAAGAACGCTGAGGGAGCTCACAGCTCCAAACCTCAACCAACAACCACTGTGTATTACCTTCCCTACACTTGATGAGGGTAATACGTTTGAGCTAAAATCTGGGCTCATTCATCTGCTGCCATCCTTCCATGGCCTGAGGGGAGAAGACCCGAACAAACATTTATCGGAGTTCCACGTCGTTTGCACAAGCATGTGCCCAAACGGTGTGACAGAAGAACAAATCAAACTGCGGGCATTTCCATTTTCACTGAAGGATACCGCAAAGGATTGGCTATTCTATCTTCCTTCAGGAAGTATAGGAACATGGGCGGCCATGAAGAAAGCGTTCCTGGAAAGGTACTACTCTGCCTCTATCTCATCCTCTCTAAAAAAACAAATTAGCAACGTAGAGCAGAAGGATGATGAATCGTTCTACGAATATTGGGAACGATTCAAGAAACTGTGTGCAAGCTGCCCTTATCATGACTACTCGGAGCAAGACCTCATCTTATATTTCTATGATGGTCTTTGCAGTGAAGATAGGCGGATGATAAATGCCGCATGTGGAGGAGGGATTGTCAACAAGACCCCTTCTCAAGCTACAAACATCATCTCGGAGTTGGCCGAGAATTGTAGGCACTATGATCGGCGGTCATCAAAACGAGTTATGGCGGCAGAATCCAACAACTCATTGGAAAGTCAAGTAGCCGGCTTGACTTCTTTGGTCAAAGATTTTCTCTTAAATTCGAAACCTCAAGAAGTCAAGGTCTGCGGCATATGCTCGACACAAGGGCACCCCACCGACTCTTGCCCAACACTACAAGAGGAGAACGTTGAACAGATCAATGCTTTGGGTTTCCAAAATCAAAAGAGGTATAATCCTCAAAGCAACACCTACAATCCGGGATGGAGGGATCATCCTAATTTAAGGTACGGAAACTCTCAACCTCCTCAACCATCAAATCCTCCTCCTCCACAATATAAACAACAAGGCCAAACTTCAAACTCGAACATGTCAACCGAAGACATGATTCGATCACTTGCCATGAACATGGCAACAATGCAACAAAGTGTGGTTCAATTCCAAGAAACAACAAAATCCAGCATCCACAACTTAGAAAGCCAAATCAGCCAAATCTCCAATGCTGTGAGTAGGCTTGAAGCTAAGGATTCGGCAAGGCTACCATCTCAAACGGAGCCGAATCCTAGGCAACAAGCCCATGCAGTCACATTACGGAGTGGCAAGGAGTTGGTTATTGCCAAGGAGAAGGCAAAGAGCCACATTGGCGAAGAGGAGGAAGAAGAGGAGCTGGTGGAAGTGACTCAACCGGAGGTGGAAGCTCAAATCCCAACCCCACCACCGGTCATTCCCGAGATTGAAGCACCCTTCCCCGAGGCTCTAAGGGAAACACGAAAGCTGGAGAAGGACAAGGACATCTATGAGACATTCTCCAAATGTGAGGTAAATATCCCTCTCCTTAACTTGATAAAGGGTGTTCCTAGATTCGCAAAATTTTTCAAAGAACTATGTACAATAAAAAGGAAACATAGACTCAATGGAAAAAAAAAGTCCAAGTTAGTGAACGTGTTTCGGCAGTTTTTCAAAAGAAACTCCCAAAGAAATACAATGATCCGGGCATGTTCACTATACCTTGTAAGTTGGGAGGAACTACGTTTTCAAAAGCCATGCTCGATTTAGGAGCATCAATTAATGTCATTCCTTACTCTTTATACAAATCACTTGAGCTTGGCCCTTTAAATGAAACGGGAGTAGTCATTCAACTTGCGGATAGATCAAATGCCTACCCTAAAGGTATTGTCGAAGACGTACTAGTTATGGTTGACAATTTGATTTTCCCCGCTGACTTTTATGTTTTAGAAATGGAGAATGATAAGAATGCGGTTCCTATCCTTTTAGGAAGGCCATTTTTGAAAACCGCTAGAGCAAAGATTGACGTGTTTAGCGGCTCTTTAACAATGGAATTTGATGGGGATAAAGTTGAATTCAACATTTATGACTCCATGAAATATCCAAATGACAATCATTCTTTATTTGCCATTGATATTGTTGACCCCCTTGTACAAAATACTTTTGAAATCAATAAGGAGGACGAATTGTTAAGTATACTTGAGAATGACTTCGGGGAAAACTCTTCAGAACTTGCCTTGACCCCCAACACACAAGCTATGATAGTGGAATTGGTTACTCACTTCCAACTCCCACTTATGCCACCGGGGTCTAGGGCATTTCCGCTAACCATCCCCGAGGAAAAGCCTCTACCTTCAGTTTTGCAGGCACCCGACGTTGAGATGAAACCACTCCCAACACATTTGAAATATGTGTTTTTGGGGAACAAAGAGACACTACCGGTCATTATCTCAAACAAATTGACCGGAGAACAAGAAGGCAAGTTGATAGCAGTGCTCAAGGAGCATAAACTAGCAATTGGATGGACTATAGCCGACATCAAAGGCATTAGTCCATCTACTTGCATGCATCGCATCTTAATGGAAGATGAAGCCAAGCCGGTACGACAGCCGCAACGAAGACTAAACCCACCTATGATGGAGGTGGTCAAAAAGGAGGTGATCAAACTACTCCAAATGGGGATAATCTTCCCCATCTCCGACAGCAAATGGGTTAGCCCAACCCAAGTGGTTCCAAAGAAGACCGGAGTCACGGTAGTGGAAAACAAACATGGAGAACTTATGCCCACCCGAATTCAAAATGGATGGAGGGTATGTATAGATTACCGTAGACTCAATGCGGTAACTAGAAAGGATTTCTTTCCTTTACCCTTCATCGACCAAATGCTTGAGAGACTTGCCGGGCATAAGTTCTATTGCTTTCTCGATGGCTACTCCGGGTACTTTCAAGTGCCTATAGCCCCTGAAGATCAAGAGAAGACCACTTTCACTTGTCCATTTGGTACTTTTGCATACCGGTGCATGCCATTCGGACTTTGCAATGCCCCGGCCACATTCCAACGATGCATGATGAGCATATTCTCTGAATATGTTGAGCTATTTATGGAAGTCTTTATGGATGATTTTACAATCCATGGAGACTCATTTGATTCATGTCTACTTCATCTATCTCTTGTTTTGAAGAATTGTTTAGAATCAAATCTTGTTCTAAACTCTGAAAAATGTCACTTTATGGTGGAGGAAGGAATTGTCCTAGGCCATGTGATTTCGTCCAAAGGAATAGAGGTGGACAAAGCAAAAGTGGAGGTTATCCAATCACTACCTTATCCTACCACCGTTAAAGAGATACGATCATTCCTTGGACATGCAGGTTTCTACAGGAGGTTCATCAAAGATTTCTCAAAGATTGCATCTCCTTTATGCACACTTTTGCAAAAGGAGGTGGAGTTCATATTCTCCGAGGACTGCAAAAAGGCCTTCAATGCTTTGAAGGAGAAATTAGTAACCGCACCTATCATCCAAGCCCCGGATTGGTCTCTTCCCTTTGAGATCATGTGTGATGCTAGTGACTATGCGGTCGGGGCCGTTTTGGGCCAAAAGGTGGGAAGAGCATCTCATGTGATCTATTATGCATCCACCACACTCAATGATGCCCAACGCAACTACGCCACCACCGAAAAAGAAATGTTGGCCGTCGTTTATGCGCTCGAAAAATTCAGGTCATATTTACTTGGTACCAAAGTGATCATTTACACTGATCATGCGGCTATTAGGTTCCTGATGACAAAGAAAGAGGCCAAACCACGGCTGATTCGATGGATACTACTCCTGAGCGAGTTTGATGTTGAGATCAAGGACAAGAAAGGCATGGAGAACTTGGTGGCCGATCACTTGAGCCGTTTGGTCTTGGGTGAAGGAAACAATCATATCAAAGATGATATCCGAGGCGAATTTCCCGATGAGACCCTTTTCTCCCTTAAGGAAATTCGTCCTTGGTACGCTCACATTGTTAATTTCCTTGTTCTAAACAGATTTCCACCAAGCTTCTCTAAAGCTCAAAGAGAGAAACTCCAGCATGATGCAAAGCAATACGTATGGGATGAACCATATTTATGGAAACATTGCAAAGATCAGGTCATTCGAAGGTGCATTCCCGAAACAGAAATTGCATCCATACTTGCTTTTTGTCACTCACATGCATGTGGTGGCCACTTTGGAGGAAAACGAACATCCATGAAGGTACTTGAATGTGGTTTTGGTGGCCAAGCTTATTCCGAGATGCTCATGTCTATTGTCAATCTTGTGATAATTGCCAACGCATGGGCAACATCTCTCGAAAGCACGAGATGCCACAAGTTCCTATGCTCTACGTGGAGATCTTTGATGTGTGGGGAATAGATTTCATGGGACCTTTTCCTAATTCCCATGGAAATCTATACATTCTATTGGCGGTAGATTACGTATCCAAATGGGTGGAAGCAAAAGCCACAAAGACCGATGATGCCAAAGCGGTGACTGAATTCCTCAAAACCCGCATCTTCTCAAGGTTTGGGGTACCACGCATCTTGATAAGCGACAGAGGCACTCACTTCTACAACAAAACTGTGAGTACCTTGTTAAAAAAATATGGCGTCACACATAAACTCTCCACCGCCTACCACCCACAGACAAACGGTCAAGCTGAGGTATCAAACAGAGAGCTGAAATCTATTCTTCAAAAGACAGTAAATCCAAACCGTAAGGATTGGAGCCTGCGCATGGATGATGCCTTATGGGCATACAGGACCGCTTTCAAAACCCCAATTGGAATGTCACCCTATAGACTCGTGTTCGGTAAGGCCTGTCATCTTCCGGTCGAACTCGAACACAAGTCTTATTGGGCGGTCAAAACATTCAATCTCGACATGGCTAAAGCGGGAGAGCAAAGGAAGCTACAACTCCAAGAACTAGAAGAGCTTCGATTGGAGTCCTATGAGAATGCCGCCATCTACAAGGAAAAGACGAAGGTATGGCATGACAAGATGATAATAAGAAAGGATTTCCAAGTTGGAGACAAAGTCCTTCTTTTTCTCTCACGCCTTCGTCTTTTCCCCGGAAAATTGAGATCACGATGGGAAGGACCATTCGAGGTGGTCAAAGTCTACACCCATGGCGCAGTGGAAATAAAAAGCCTCGACACCGGAAAAATCCTCAAGGTTAATGGACATCAACTCAAACCATTCCTTGAAGGTTTCCAGAAAGAAAGCATTGAATGCATGGATCTCATCGATCCAATCTTTGAAGAATGAACACAACAATGGCGTCGTGCCGCGACGTTAACTAAGGCGCTTCTTGGGAGGCAACCCAAGCAAGGTACATTTTTCTTTTATTGTTAACCCCCCTGTCAATGTTTTCAATTATGTTTTTGAGAGGTTGAGAGAGAGGGCACTAATCAGGTTTGTGGAGGAAAAAAGATAAAAATGCAGGTTTTGGAGCATCTGGGGACATACCCGATCGAGTACAACCTTATACTCGATCGGGTATGACCAAAAAGAAAAGGGACCGGGCATTACTCGATCGAGGAAGCACTCAAAAATTGAAAAACAAGGAATACCCGATCGGGTATCACTATACACCCAGTCGGGTATGTATAGAAATGCTAAAATTGAAGGAGACTGACTCCCACACTCGACCGAGTACCTGCTTTAAAAGTAGAAAAAAAAGCACATACCCGATCGAGTATGGAGGAATACTCGACCAGGTACAGGAGGCAGGCTTCTCACAAAGTTCATTTTCCAGACATACTCGACCGGGTAACAACACACTACCCGATCGAGTACAGGAGGCAGGCCGCTCAAAAACTAAACTTTCCAGCAATACTCGACCGGGTAACAGTACATACCCGATCGAGTACGGGAGACAGATTGCTCAAAAAGGCCACTTTCCAAACATACCCGACCGAGTATCAGCACATACTCGATCGGGTATACGGGTATTATAACCCCAAATCAGCCCCAAACACTTCATCTTCCCCAAAATCCCCAACCCCAATTCGAAAAAAACACCCCCAACCTCCATTTTTACACCTTCTCTCTACCATATCTCCCCCATTTCTTCACCAAATCATTCCATTTCAACACCAAAACACTCCCCTCATCCTCCTCTACACACTCATACTCACCAATCCCATTCTCCCCCAAATTTCAGAGGTCCGAAAAACCCTACCCCCCACCTTCAAATTTCGGATTTCAAGGCCAAATTCACTCCAAAATGGCTCCAAGGAAAGAGAAAGGACAAAGCTCAAGCACTAGGGCATCCATCCCGGGCTACGAGGACATCCTCTACATGGACAACGAACACCGCACCCGCTTCGTGTCCACAATTGAAAGGCAAGTTAAACCTTCTCGCTTTTTATGTCATGATGCCCTAAAGGAATTAGGAGTGTACAAAATGATGAAGAAATTTTTTCATGAGTTGAGCATGGACAAAATTTTCAAAATGCAATATCACTCAAATGAAAAAATTATCTATGAATTCCTAAGCTCTGTGCACTTTGAGAACAATGAAGAGGATTTTAGGGATGATAAACTCAGGTTTCGATTGTTTAACCACAACCACACCACCACGAAACTTGAGTTCGCCAAACACTTTGGTATTCCGGTCCCGTACCAAAAATCTATATCCGACAATACCGCCTTCGGCCATACCCTATGGACAAAGATGACCGGGGAGACTAAATTTAGCTCCTCCCAACTCTATATTAGTCATGTCCAACATCCCGTCCTCCGCCTATTTTTGAAATTCCTCGCCAACTCCTTACTTGGACGTCCCAACAACCATCACACTAGGATGGGTGATGTGTGCCTGATATCGGTAGCCCTATTCTGTATCCACGTAGATTTCAACCTATGTAATCTTATGTGGGCACATCTAAAAAAAGAAAGTGTGGCAAAGGGTGCTATTGTAGTGGGCGGGGTGATTATGCACTTGGCCACAAAGTTCGGGTATACGGATAACTCTCCTATACCCGACTACTGTTTGATGAACATTGCTTGGCTGGGCCACTCGGGCTGTACATCTTTTTCACACACCGTTTATGGTGACGCAGGGCCCAGAAATATGTACAACTGGCACATCCACCCCAAACCCCTAAAATACTTCCTCCTTCCCAACCCAGAACTCCCCCAACTCCACTACAAAACTGGAAGAGCGGAGCAACATTACCTCTTCCCACACGCCCTTCCACCCCATCTCCGGGAACCAGAACAAGAACCTCCCCAACACCAACCTGATTACGAGCCCTATGCTCAACTCCATAGCCATCACAACATGGGCCAGGACCTCCCAGAACAGAGCCAAAACCCTCCACCACCCGACTTCTTTCAACAACTTCTGGAGGGTCAACAACAACTTCTTTCGAGAATAGCCCAAATGGACAACCGGCTCAACCGATTAGAGGAGGAGCAAAGAGCCGGTTTTCAAATATTGGAGGATGAGCAAAGAGCCGGCTTTCAACGATTGGAGGAGCTCAGGGAGGCCGATAGACATCGGTATGAGGAAGACCAACATAGGTTCTACGGACCTATGTACTCTTATATGGCACAGCAGGGATCCTTCCATACCATGGCGAACCCCCTCCACCACCCTCGTGGTATGACCCCACTCATTGGGGTAACTTTGGAGGATCTGGCTCCGGGGGTGGAGGATATGATGGCGGAGATGGCGGGGACACCTACATGGGAGATGGTGGCCAAGGGAGCGGCTTCGGAGGGAGCTACTACGGAGGAGAAGGCGGGCACTAGGGACAGTGCTTGATTAAGTGTGGGGGAGACACTCATGATGGTATGTAATTTTCATTTCTACCTAGCACTATGCATGTAATTCTTTTGAACTTTTAAACAAAAAAAAATAAAAAAAAAATAAACAAAAGAAAATAAATGCTAGTTAGATTGAAAACCCAACAAAATGGGCAATCTAAGCAAAAAAAAGGCTTATAAAAAAATGAGTGAGTTGGAGAGAATGAAAAATGAAAAGAGGTGCTAGGATGAAAACCTGAAAAGGCTCCTAGGCAAAATGAGAGATATGAGAGAAATGTTTGTTCTTGCAGGCACCCATTGTATCCGTGTGAAGAATAAGAAGATTCAAGATAAAGAAGAAGAGAGGAGGAGAAAAGAAGATAACACTAGGAGGCCATTAAACCCAAGATGCTCTTTTGTAATTTGAGTTTAAAACTCATTTTTCTTTGTCATCCTTGGTGGTCTTTGTGTTTGTATTGTGTTTTTGTTGAACTGTGGAACTTTTGGACAAACATTGACACTTGTAAACATTTGATCTTACTCGAGACAAGTAAAGGTTTAATTGTGGGGGAGTTGATACGTTCGTAATTTCCATATTTATGTTTATGTTTTTAATTAGTTTTGCTTGACTTTTACTTTGGAAATTACACACTTTTGGTGTAATAGATTAGATTGTTAAATTCTTGTAAATAGGTTAGATTAGATATATTCTGAGCTCAAGCAGGTTTTGGTCACTCGAAGTACAGTTGGTGAACCCAAAAAGTGAAAAGAAGGTGCAAAAGTTCAAAGACAAAAGAAGATCCTGAAATTTGGTCTATACTCGGTCGAGTATTAGCTATACTCGATCGGGTATTAGGTTGGAACTTCAAATCGGATCAGATCCGAAGACAAGGGAACATGCAGGGAAGATTTCGGCCACGATTTTATGTCTATACCCGATCGGGTAGACCGACATACCCGATCGGGTATGCCTTTGAATTTCAAACGAAGATCGGTTGAGTATGGTCCGAATACCATTTTCTAAGCATACTCGACCGGGTATTCATATATACTCGATCGGGTATACTCTTAGAAAATAGCCTGAAACCGGTCGAGTATGCCTCGGATCGAGTGTTACACACGTACTCGATCGGGTACCATGTATATACCCGATCGAGTACCCGAACCCCATCCCAAAAACCTATAAATACACCTCTTTTCCTTCACAAAAAGATATCCAATTCCTTTGTACATCTAAGCTCAGTATAGAATAGCTCTTTCTTTATATTTTTCATCATGTTTAGTCTCCAAATGAGGAGCTAAACTCTTCCATCTTGGTTTTGCTACTTTGAAGCTTAATGAGTTTGTAAGTTGTGAGTTATTTTCTTTAATCTTCTTCCTTGAATATTAATTCTTTCTTTCAAAATACTATCTCTATATCAAAGTTGGGGAGTGTTACTAAGATGACAATTAGTTAACATCTTGACATTGGTTATAGTAATAGCTATTTCTTCCTCTATGATAATATTGGGGAGTGTTACTAAGATGACAATTAGTTAACATCTTGATATTAATCATAGTAGGATTCATATATTTTAATATTCTTCCTTGAGTATTAATTAATTCCTATTCATATTTCATGTTAATATCTTAAACATTACTTAAAGTATCAACTAGTATTGTTTCTCATATTAATTATTACTAGAATCAATCGGTTAATACGCTTGTTATTAATCCGGTTCTTTCAACGGTAGTAAACTTGGAATATTAATGCATGCATCTCATGGTTAATATGCCAAGGGGGATTAATTATATTGATTAAACCAATAAACCGCTTGTGTTGAGGTTATCAATCTCAATCATTTTCATCTTAAGTTTATTGCTACTATCAAGTTAATATACGGCGCTTGTTCTATATTGACTCGATAGTAAGTTTTATTAATGAATGCATCTCGTTATTAATAACTACCCTCGATGAACTGGATATACTCCTCGATTGAGTATTCGAGTGGAAGATAGTTAAAGATATAACCGGGATCGACGAACATTTCATTAAGTGGATAAAAGCAAAACCAAGTCCCCATCTCATTGAATTAAACTCATATAGGTCGTTTATCTTAGTGTTATTAAACCAAACAAGTCTAAACCCCCCTTGTTACTATTTATATAAAAGAAAAGTATTCTTTTCCCTGTGGATATGAACCTTACTACACTATACTAGGGCTGGGTTCGGTTCGGGACCCGAACCGATTTAGTATAAACCCGAACCGAACCGATATTTCGGTTTACTAAATTACAAAAACCGAAACCGAACCGTATTAAGAACGGGTACCGATATTTGGGGCCCGAATTATTCGGTTCGGTTTACCGGGAACCGAAAAACCGACTCAATTTTAAAAAATAAATTTGAACTAATATTCAGTAGACTAAAGCTCATTGGAACTTTCCAATATTAGAGCCCCATTAGCCCAATTGGAAGCCTAGAACGTATCTTAGCAGCCTACAATAAGGGAACCTGGTTTATATTGAAGTTTTTGGAGTAGTAAGCTGCTCATTTTCCGGTGTGGGACAGAATATAAGAAGAAAGAAGCCAAATTCTAAAAATACAAAACATTACACAGCATAGGGGAATCGATCCCTCGACCATTTGCTGGGGATAGGAGCACAACGACCAACTCCGCTACTTGTCATCTTTGTTCAAACCATACTCGGGTTTATATTATTACTATAGTTTTCGTCATTAATTATTATTATTATAAATAACAATTATTATTATTATTATAAAAATGTCGGTTCGGTTGGGTTCGAACCGATATTTTGTGCACATAAACCGAACCTGAACCGATTTTTTTTCGGGTCCCGATTATTGGGTCCCAATTTCGTTCGGTTCGGTCCGGTTCGGTTTTTTTCTAAAACGGTTCAGTTATTTTCGGTTCGGTTTTCGGTTTTTCGGTTCAAAATGCCAGCCCTACACTATACTACGTATTAGTGTCGTATTGATTAATTATTTTGAGTGCACCTAACGACGAGTGCACGTCAACTTCTTAAAGCTCATTCAAGGTGAGTGGATGGCTTAATGTCTTGTAACTCTTGGGTTAAGTATGAGATTACCTAAGTAAATGCTATATGTGTTCATAATGATGTTTAAAATGGTTTAAGCATGTGATTAGCCAAGATGATTTGGCTTTTGTGAAATGAACCATAAAGATTATGAATGAGAAATGATATGAAAACGTTTATAAAAACATATGAACTATTCCGAAGGATAAAAGGGGAATAAAAGGATTATTTATAACTTAATACACGTCGTTATTAAGTTTGACACGTATCAAAATTGATTTGGCGGGTCAATACACATTGATCGGTTGTCCAGGGGGTGACCGGCGCCGGCTACAGGCAGAACCGGCGCCGGTGGGTACGGGGTGCCCAGTTTATTAATTTTAATTAATAACCGGCGTCGGTTATGGCTGAACCAGCGCCGGTTTGGTGCTGTTTTGCTCGTATGTTGATTTATATGCATGGTTTTGCATGGGTTGTTATGCTTGGGCTATGAGACCTTGTTTAGTCTTGATAAATGATTATGATATAGACCCTATCTATGTATGATAAGCGGTAGATCATAGAAATGAAAGTATGATGGTGGAGAACCCAGGGACGACGTTACTGTCCTAAAAACTCGGTAGATAAACGGTGGAGAACCCATGGACGACGGTACTGTCCTCAAAACTCATATGTGTAGATGGTGGAGAACCAAGGACAACAATATTGTCCTCAAAACTCAAATGTATAAATGGTGGAGACCCAAAGACGACGGTACTGTCCTCAAACCTCGGTATATAAATGGTGGAGAACTCAAGGACGACAGTACGGTCCTCAAAACTCATAATATGAATTGATTAGGACCAGGAGGAGTCCTATACACTCATAGGTATATGGTGGGTTGGGATTTAAGTCAAGGATATTGACTACTACTATTTTCCCAAATAAACAATGACCCACGGGTCTGGTATTTCCATGTGTGTGTGTGTATACACACACACACACACACACTGATATGTATTTTATAACATGGGGGAAAGTACTATACATGTATGTATCACCCTATGTTTGAGTTTTATACTTGAAACGTTAGTTAGTCTACATTTAGCTTGCTACTCGCTATGTACTTGTAGTGACCCCTTCGGAGGGGGGGGGGGGGGGGACATTTCCAGGTTGAAGCTAGGACTTGCTACCTGCACCTTCTTACGGGTGAAGTCAATTCAAGAAAGACGTGATTCGTGCTTCCTTATTTCCTTTCAAACTACCAAACACTTGTTCATGGATACTTGTTTTACTATAAACTATATCGGGCCTGTGAGCCCATGTCTTGACCGGTTGTGGACCATGCTTTACCGTTGAATATTCCCACCATTCATTGGTTTAAATGTGATGTTGTTATGTATGTTTACTAGTGAGTATGGATGAATTATGTTCATAGACGCCTTGTATGATTAAGTCACGTTGACTTGCGTCTGACGTCCCTTGGTCATACGACAGTTGTACACGCGCTTAGATGCGGTCTGGGGCGTGACACCCGAAGTATATGTGGAGGTGCAATGATACACATAAACTTCTAAAAAGTGAAAAAATGCCCCTAGTATTTTCTATAAAAGAGCAAATTACCCTTATTGATTTTAAATAAAGTAAATTAAAAAGAAGAAAAATAAACTGTAAATTTAAATTTCAAAATTGAAAAATAAAATATTATAAGGGTTACAAATAAGGATTTGTTTTTATGTTAAAATATTAACTTTTTAATTTTAAATTGCAAAATTATTTTTTTCCCTTGTAAATGAAGCACTTCAAATTAATAAAAACTAATTTAGTCTTGTTGCAAAATTTTGAACATATTGTTACAATTATTTTTGAAATAACATTCTTTGGTTTTGTTTAAACTAAATAAAACTAAATTCACTATTTTGTATTCTTTGTTTATTTTTTATCATACAAAAAATGCATTTTTTATAGTGCAAAATTTTGATAGTGCACAGAAAAAAATTTCACGATTTTTTACATCACAACACATATGTTAACAATTTTCCAAAAAATTCATAAATGTGTAGTAAAATTTTGAATTTTTTTATTCAAACTATATTAAATTGTGATATAAAATCAATAAAAGAGAGAATTGGATACAAGTATTTTTTTATTTTTTTTCATTTTTTAATATCAAATTTTAAATTTATACTTTGTTTTGGTGTTTTTAAAATTTATTTTTTTATATTTAAAATCAATAAAGGATAATTTGCTCCTTTGTAAGAATATTAGGAGTATTTTTACCTTTTCTATAAATTTAGAGATATACATCTACCTCTACCTCTACCTCCACAATTATTTACCGGTGGGCGTAGCTCAACTGGTAGCAAGGGAGTGTCACAAGGGTTAGGTCCCGGGTTCGAATCCCGACAACTGCGATGAGGGGTTACTATGCTAAAAATGCATAGGGCCTCTGCAAGTACCGGGGACAGAGCTCCACTCTCTATCTGTCAGATTAGGATTATAGTCCAATTTACATCCTCCCGACGTACCGTCCGAAATATATGTGGAGGACCCTCAAGAATGGGGTGTCACCCTTTTTTCCGGAAATATATGTGCCCTTTCCGTGATAGATTTAAAATGTAAACAAACTTTCAAAAATTGGTTTAACACCCATCCCCTCCCCCATAGGATAAATGGAGAGATGGTGAGGTTTTATTTGGAATTGAATCTCATTTGGTAACCTTGATTTTCACTTTACTAGAATTCAATCTTGGTGTAAGATACAAATATAATAAGTAAAAAAAATGATTCTATCTCTAAATGAAATTAAAGATTATATTATAATTTATCACGGGAATGAG